GCCGTTTGAATTAAGGTCCGCTAAATTTGGACTCCGAGTTCCACATTCTGAAATACATATATTAAAAAAATCGTCTATTACAAAGTTACTCATACCATTAAGAATGGCATTTTAGTAGAGGATATCGAAAGAAGTGCGTTGCGATCCCAAAAAAAGTAAGTGTAAAGAGCAATGGTGAAAAGCCGAAACGTATAATTTCGTTTGAGGTAAATCGGGAAATTATAAAAAAAATATTAGAAAGACGTACGAGTAATGGATTTGGCGAGACGGTACGAGTGTTCTATATCGACGATAAATAAAACATTATAAAATCTAAATTATTTTTTTTTAAATCGTTACAGTAATGGATAAAATGTAAATGTTTTTAAAAAAATTTAAAATGAAGTGATCGAGTCAGTCTTCGATATCATAGACTAGGCTAACCGTTGTTAGGCTAGTTCATTATGACAATCTTCAAAAGGGCCACATCCATCAATGGTTTAGTACAGTTTATTTCAATTTTTTCTCGAAACAGTTACGAAAGGTTAAATCAATTCTTGATCTTATGACCATTTTTTTTTGATTATGTACATAAATAAATTATTAGTAGAAGTTTTTAAAATGTGACTTTTAAATATAGAAATATATTAATAAATGTTATTATTAATCGGAAGGTATATATATATATATATTTATATATATATATATATATATACCGGCTGTAACAGCCAAATTGTCCAAATCGTGTAACGGTATGGGATAATTGTCCGTCATTATTAAATTTAATATTTTTGGATAAAAAAAAAATTAAGTTTCTTTTTTTCCCGATTTTCAGATAAGACGAGGATGGTCTTGACATCATTTGCCTGGCTTTGAATGACTGAAAAAGGTTTTGAGTTATTCAGCATAGAAAGAGAACAGGTTAAAATAAATGCGTTGCCCTACTTTCTTCCCAATTGAGAAAATTAGTGAGAGGAAAAAGATCATTCAGGCCTTCAGTAAAAAATGCATTCATTTCAACTGGCTTCCAACTTCAAAGTTCATTCAAGAACCATCAAGATAACGCTGAATAATTTTCAAAAAAGAGGAAATCTCTTGAGAATAGAAAACTGGATCATCGGAGGTTATTTAAATCCAAGAGGGATCATCATTTCATCTTAAAAACTAAATTCATTTTTGTTGTTCAATGGGATGATGTCAATACTGTTAAAAAAAAGAAAATTTCGGAAAATTCCAAATATAAATTTAATCATTTCTAAGATACCAAGACGGTTCATAACTTAATCTAACAATTTACAATTTTGATTGTTACATGATGTGAACAATTTTGCTGTTACATTCCTGTCATTATAATATTCCGTGATATATATATATATATATATATATATATATATATATATACAGTGATCAAAAGCGCAAAAATGTATAAGACATCTTGAAAAAATTTGTTTGAGGTAATTTCCAACTACTTTTTTTTTCCTCTTGTTTTGTTTGTTTTTACCCAGATTGATGTTATTAATATATATATATATATTTCGATTTTATAACAACTTTCCAAAGAAAAAACGTCGTTATTAATAAAAATACGTTTTCGAGGGTGGAAATAAGCATTATGTTTTGAAAATTTGTATTTAACACCATCAAAATTGTACAAAATTCAAACAGTTACATTTAAATCCTTTTGATATTGTAATACTTCAAAATTATCTGTTTTGCAAAATCAATGTTTTTATGAGAGTTTCAGATGGAATTTCATTCCAATACTGTTAAAATAGAAAGATTTTAAATATTAAATTTCTCATATAATTTCTCTATTTTCCAATGGATATTTTTATATACTATTCTTGACAAAATTCACCACAAATTCTCTATTGCATTTAAATCATGAAGATTTAGTGAACCAGTACGAAACTTCATATATTTTTGTTTTAAAACAGTCTTTTGTGATCTTTTAGAAAAGACGTATGGCTGTCTTGGCCTGTTGAAAATGACATTAAACCCTTGGTTATCTAGACGGTTCATAAAATTTTGGACAAAACTTTTGCCAACACGATTGATATATTCCTTCCATCATTCTACTAAATCAAAACTTTTCAAGACCATCAGAAAATAAGTTTTAAAAACCATGACATATCCTTCTCCAAATGGTCCTTTTGAAAAATATCTGCTTCTACTTTCTTAAACCATGGCAATAACACTGGTAAAAAAATCGGGCCCATCCAAATTAAAAATCTTTCTCATCAGAAAACACCACAGTTTCCCATTTCTCCTTTGTCCCTGTTACTTTTTCTTTACCCAATCTACGCGTATCTTCTTGTGTTTAGCGGTTAAAGCAGTGACTGTCTTATTATTTTATAAGGTACTGGGCACCTCACTATTTTAGCATTGTCAGAGATATAGCAAAATTAAAATCTACACTATCAACATAAACGAGCATTTCAGTAAACTCTAATATAGAGAGTTTTAAAAGGGACTTTTATTTAACATCTTGAACTGAACACAAGTTTTTATCACTTTTCATTTCATTTTCTTTTTCTAATTATTTCATCTTTCAAGTATCAATTATTTCCTCAAATCTTATCATTTGTATTATAATTTTTATGTTATTTCTAAATCTGATTTTGCTGATTGAAAAATCATTTATCTAATTGCTCTAACAAATGAAACAATCATTCAAAATCTTCAAATTGTTGGTAACTGAATGAAATGGAATGAACGTTTAGTACTCACCTCTGCGACTACACTGGAGACTTAATAGTGTGCATAGGCTACAAAACAAAACAAAACAAATTCATTTTTTTAAACAAAAAATGATTCGGTGGTTCTTTCTCAGTTATTGATGTTATGGCATAATGAAAAAATAAAAAGAAAAACAAAAATGGAACTATAACAAACAAAATAAACTGTGGTGAAAAATTTGAACTTGCATTTGAACTTTTCAGTCAGCCAAGATTGATATAGAAGAGTTGACGTTGATTGGCTCGCATAGACCAGTCACTGCTACTCTTGAGTGTCTAGCAACAGTTTCGGATTCGCATCAACTTCAAGAACTCTTTCAATTATTCACTTATCATTATCAGGTACAGAAGTGGAAACAAAGCAAGGCTTGATGGAACGCTGAATAATTTTCAAAAGGAGGAAACAGTAGAGAGGAAAACTGGATCAGGAGGTCACAACAGCAAGAGGGATCATCGTTTCGTCTACTTCACGCCAACCAAGGTGAAGAGCATATTGGACTGATGTCCACCAAATTGGAACGAACAAAATCCAGCACAGAAATTATTTCGTCTTTTAAAAAAGTGATAAGCGGTTGTCATGTCCAGCGACAACATAACCGAACCAACTACAATATTAATTACCAAAAATACATTGAAATAAAGTAAATTGATTTAATCCTGAACAAGAATATGAAAAATATTTATCATGTTATATTCAAGATATGAATAACAATTCGATCTAAAATGATATGATATCGAAACATAGATTGACAAGTATAGTAAGTTGCATCTTCACGGATATGTTGCAATTGTGGCCTTGTGCCAAAATATGTTAAGTTAGGTGAATACTTACAGATATTTTTATCAAGCTAATCTCGTTGATACATACCTGCATACTGAGGTCTGTCTACACTGACACTACAGTGGCCCTGTGCCAGACAAATTTAAGCTTGGTAAATATTCAGATGCTTATCATAGAGTAATGATTCACAGCTTAGATTCACATTGGATTGCTTTATTACTAGTGAGATCGTTTCTCATTAGCTGTTTCACATCTTTAGATGTGTACCAAACCAGACTAAACTTACTCAAAATCGTTTTCTAATATCGGACTTGAAATTGGATCTTCATAATGCATTTTATCTACAACTAATTCTTTAGTTTAATTCTCCATACCCCCCACCCGTTAGGTGACCAGAAATGTCAGTTTTCTGGTAGATGCGGGACACTTTTAGATTTTCAAATTTGCTATCGTACCTGAATGAGTGTATGGCCGTGTGTGTGATTGAGCGAATGATTGTTTTTCATTTATCCAAGTCCTGCATTAATTTCGTCCAGTTAACTGATATCTCTGGGAATTTTTATAATTCATTTTCTTTAGTTTCTTTTAGGTATAGTATTATGCATATTGTAAACTTTCATTGGGGTTTTACATTTTTAAATGTTATTTTATGTCCTACCTCCACACAAATTGTACATATGGAGATTAGTTAGAATTTCCATAGGGACTTTGAGGTATTATGGTGGTTGTAGCAAAAATTGTGGTGCTTTGGTTCAAAGAATATGTATTGTTTGTTTGGGTCAGTGATTGTAGCTAAGTTTAAGAAAAGACAGATGAAGACCAGCCTTTGCCATCCCCAAGTTTTGGCCTTGTGCAACATTTTTTTGTTTTATACAAAAGTAAATATTATTAAGTATTATGAAATAAACGAGGAATTTGATTTTTGGACATTTAGGGCTATAAAGAGTTATTTCCCCTTAGAGAATCGTTTCAGACAATATTTATTGCCTATCAAATTTTCGACAATCATACAAATGGAAGCAAGTACTTACTCCAGGGAAGGTTTGAAGTCAGGCAACACAGATTGTTTAGCGTCTGCTGAATAAGAAAACTTCACTCCAGTTGCTTTAATGTTGGAGATACCAACTGAGGCATTCCTAAAATAATAATACAAAAACAAAGAAAACAAGGATTGTTATTGTCAATAAAGTTCGGTCTTTAATTTGGGTAAATGTATGCATTATAATTTTCCAGACACAACTTTTCATTTGAAATTTTAATTTTAGCAAATTATCAGTATAATGGCCGGCTACCAATTTCCGGACTATGGTGACTAGCCAATCCCTGTTGCAGACATCTACTCAGGTACATTTTTATTTGTTAAATACCCACAGAATAAACCTATGGTTTATAATGCAACTCTACTGAACAGACTTTAGTTACAATTGTAGGGAGAAAGCGCATAATCTGTTATGATCAACAGTTTGAACATCGTGAGTATGGTCAAACCTTCAGTCATGATAGGCCATATCACGTTGAAACAGCGGTTCTCGTACGATCACTGAAGTTAACCAACATCGAATCTAGTCAGTATCGAGATGGGTGACCGTTTGGGAATACCATGAGCTGTAAGCTTGGATACGCGGGTGGTGTAATGGATAATGGCTCAAAATTGTTAATCAGGGAGCCGCGTTTAAATTCCACCTTTCCCTCCCCATCTATGGGTTAATTAGCAACACTTGTATCACTATATCATTATTATCTCCAAAACTTCTTACAATCTAAACATATTTTATGGCTTTAAATAACCTGCAACCGGTTGATAAGCCGTAGAAAATGAATGAATTAATCAATTCAGTCACGATGACTTGTTCCTTCGTTCCAGAACATCCGCTGATGGCTTGCGAACAGTTTCGGCTACTCATAAGGCTTTGGTTTACTCGTGCTTTGGTTCTTCAAGAACTTTCACACGGTGTGATCATCTTCCCAGACTGATAATATCACCTCCATGTCAAATCGACCATGGTGAGATTCGAACCCGCGTCATCTGGTCAAAAAACAAAACAAAAAAAAACGTTATAACCACTCTGTCGCGCGCCGAAAACATATATAATGGTTGTCGACTCGTTAAACAAGAATATGACCATCGTTGACAAGTTTGATCAATGTTTTTAGTTTTTTTGAAAATGATGATGCTCTTGAAGCCAGCAAGTGATTTGCAATGTTTGTTGCAATATAGTGCCTGGTTTCTTTTTTGTTTTTGTTTCAATCAGTTTATCCCAAGCAAGGCGATGATGCTACTAAGACGCAAGGGGCTACTGGGAGTGAAAGATAATGTAAATGGAACAAGGGATAAACCCCTGTTTATTCCGTTCAATATTTTGTTTACGTCATTTTGTGGTTTCTCATGTAATGGGTGAAAACCAGACAGGTTTCAAGAGGTTTTAAAAACCCCTCACCCAATGTGATAGGGGCAAATCGTGTAAAGATCTACCAATATGAACCCCTTTGTGGTTAACGAGTTCTGCATAGCCTGACGTATTTCATTTGTAAATTACTGGTGTAATATCGATGGTTTCAAGATCATTTTATTTCCAGTTTAATTTTTACACGGTTTAAACCTTGCCTAACTCATAACATGTTCTTGGAAAATCTTGGAAGTGCCTTCATGAATTATATGCCTCCACTTATTTCGATCTCAAACAGGATCTTCTATATGCCAGGTTGCAAGAGACTCTTTTAAAAATAGTCCTTAAATGTATCGAGCGCTATAGGGCAAATCGCCGTAGAGCATTTGCAGTGTGTATTCTGCTGTGATCAAGGCGGATAACATTACCTGTTGATTGAAGCAATGGATGTGCACTTTGACAGTGATTTCATTGGACTTTTTGACGACTACGGTATCTGGTGTGTGTGATATCGAATGGATATCAAGAATCGATATTAAACAGAATTATTCAAGAGTTTAAATGGCAACGGTTTATGCGAAAATATGCCCCAGACACGTTTGTACACAGACATTTCAGACCGCCATCTTTGTGTTCCGTCCGGCATTTTAAGTGCACCACCAAGACCAGACTTGATCTTCTTCACATGAACTGGTATTTCATCGTCAATAGTGTAACACCTGTTTACAGTCCTCCCAAAGTATGGGAATTTGTCTAATTCAGTTTTTGGACTATAGTTATAAAATCATACATGATGGCTGAACGCAAAACGAATGGTCTAACATATACAGCAGACATGAAACCCTCTAATGCAGAAATCAAAATAATTTTTTAAAATCTTAATTTCTAACCAATCAGAAGCTTTCCCTTTTCTTTCTGATAACCTAGAAATTCAGTAAGTGTGAACATCTTGAACTTATAAAACGAGATACTTCTTGTTAATTCTATATGCCTGTTGTCATTAAAATTCCTTGTTGCTTTATGTATCTACTCCAATCTGGATCCCATTACACAAAAGATAACCCCCACCCCAGCCATTATAGTAGGTTATTTGTTTCCTTTCTTAAAAGTGATCCTGATGTAATCAATATAAAAAAAAGTTTTCTCTAACGACGGTTTCTTTTCACGTAAACCGTGGGACGCATATTCAATTTATGCAAAATTTTCTTTAATAAGATTTCGTCTAACATTCAATGCTGGTAGTAGAAAATAAAATTTGTAATATTCTGTTTAATTTTGCCGCTAATTTTAACGAAGGGCCTAAAATACGTCAAATACTAGTATCTACTAAAGATAACATTTCAAGTACTAAAAATCTGACGGATTAATAAAAACATCCATTCTAAAATCTAAAACTCTTTGTTTACATTCGGATGCAAAACTGTGCAGAATGAAAAAATTGAAAGATCTATGAAACGAGAAATTTCACTTGAAATTTGGCCTCGCTTGACTACTTTTTGTGGTCAAGTCGGTAAGGCGTGCCGTCTTAAACGCTAGCCTCCTTTCCCCTGAGGGACGAAGGTTGGATTCCTGCTGGAGAGAGCAAATTTTCTTCAATAAGATTTCTCGAATATTTAGGCCGGTAGTCGAAAATAAATAAATATACTGTTTAATAAATAAACGGAGCGTATATACAAATACAAGTATCCATTAAAAAAATAACGTTTAAAGTGATTATTTATTCGATATATATATATATATATATATATATATATATATTTTCTGCCGCAATCTGTCTGTGGATGATATATATCTCTATCAACCACAGACTATATATATATATATATATATATATATATACTATCATTCACAGACTATATATATATATATATATATATATATATTTATATATATATATATCCACCTTTTGTGTGTGTGTTTTAATTCCGTTAAAATGACCAGCTTCTCGGATCAGGCCTCTTCGATTTCAACAGTCTAGTCTTATAGGAATGCTCAATTCCCGACCCTTTTCATTACCATGATCCCTCAGACATCTTCTAGTTTCTATCCATGTTGGATGTCATATCTTTTGTTCATAGGTTGAAAGGGCCTATTCTGGCACCAACGAACCACTGTTATGGCTGGCCAAAAATCAATCTTGAGAGGGTGTTTTTTTTGAGAGTGAGAATATCTCTGCCGCCTCTGAGAGAGAATATCAGAGAGAAATATATATATATATATATAAATTATAGTTAGATGGTTTCTTCAATATCGGACAATGTGAGGGTCAAGTTAAATAAATCAGTCGGCAACCAAACATACAATCATTATCAAATTGGGACAATAAAATCTGGTTTTATACCCTCTCTCTTGGTCAATAACAAACTGATATTTCCTTCTATCGTTTGCGGAATTAATTTTCAGAATGTAAGGAAGAGTCTAGTTAATAATAAAAATATTTTTCTTCTATTTTGTCGTCTTAAGATTTTGAATATGAATAACATCATCTAAATACGTGATTCCTAGACACTGATGAGCTGTGATAAAAGAGGAATGTATGATATTTATCTCGACCTAAGTGTTTCTCTTTTATAACCGGCAGATGGGATCATTGAAGTTTGGTCTTCTAAGTAGCACCCACTTAATCGAAAAGGAACTAATAAGTGAAAGAAATCATTGGAGGTGAAGTGACAACAAACCGGACATTGATGATTTCCGGTTGATGGACCTTTATTTAGAAGTTGTCGTCTTGATAATTTTGAACGGAAAATTTTTGTTATATATAAATCATCATCTTAATGAAACATATCATTATATATATATATATATATATATATATATATATATATATATATATATTTATAAATCTAATATAATATATATACGAATTTATATACATATATATAAATTTAATGTCTATGTGGTATGATTTTAATACTTACCCTTTTCCAACGTAATGGCAAAGTTTGTTGGCAATGTCTTGATCTTTCAAATTATCTTCACATACGGGGGTGTACCTTCCGTTCATCATGAACGACAAAGTGAGATTGTCATACTTGACTGAAATAAAACCAAGGGACTATATTTAGATGACACAGAAAATAATCAGCAAGTTTTCCGAGGTTACACGAGATGTTTTAATCGGCCCCGTCCTCAAGGATTCGGGCTAGGAAAGGCCTACCCCCTTCCCAGAGAATCACTTGCTTCCCTCTCACCCTGTGAAAATGATAATTATGTTAACAAATTCTTACTTGCGGTCCCTATGACTTAAAGTCCTGTATCTAACTCAAATCACTCTGGCAGCCGATCTGTGTTTAACGACAAACAGAATAATTAAAAAAACAAACTTTGTTCTTCTGAATGTTTAGACGAAGATGCCCACAGTTCAATTACCAATGCCTACAGCTTACAGTTTTCATTGATGTTACAGGTTTTATCTTTCACAATATCAGCATGTTTTCCATCATTGACGAGGCTGGTTATAAAATTCACTTATGGTCTAGTACAATGATTTCAAAAATTTTTCTAGCTGCCTATACATTGGCTCCAAAGTGACATCCCTAGTTACCCATCCAATACTGACATTTCTTGATATTATTTATACTGAAAATTCAAAACAAAAACTAATCTAGCATTGTAAATGCACATCTATATTTCATCTTTTCTTAGAAGCCATTAGATAAGATGCCTCCAGACGAACATCCATGGCTATATCACTATGCCTACAAACCTAGAGTATTTGCTCTCTGCAGATGTTCATTACCTTATCTAGTTGAAATGTAGTGTGTCCTGTCCAGGTAACTTCAGTAAGATGCAAACAAACGTTCGTTAACTTTAGATAACAAAATAAAATAAAATCATGTGTTTGTGTATAACACTTATGTTAGTAAATATATCATCCCTTTTTTTTTCTCTAACCGTCCTTTTTCGTGATCGCCTTCATGGACTTTTTCGCCGCCTTCAAACGAGGATGGAACGGACCCCTTGAGAATTCCAGGTTTACTAGATGGTCGGTTTACCAAGCTAAATGCTTCATTGCAACTTTCAAATCATGACGTTACCTGGTGATAGCCGGTGATTATGGGATATAAACACTAAATTTATTCAATTCAGCGATCTCTAGAGTTTCTGTTACATTTTTGTTCATCCACTTAGGTCAGAGGTCACGAGTATTTTCGATACTTACAACAATGATATTCGTCAGATCTATCTTGACAGTCAGCAACTCCGTCACAAACTTTGGTGT